TAGTAGTAGTAGCAGTAGTAGCAGTAGTAGTAGTAGCAGCAATAGTTCGAACATTTGACCTGGTTGTGGGCTCGGATTAACTGGGGGGGGGGGTTCTGGTGCCCAACTAGAACATTAGGGGGGGAATTAGACACGAATAATATTTCTAATTTGGGCAATTTCCGGTGGCTTTGTGGGCTCGGATTAACTAGGGGAGGTTCATTAATCGTGACTTTACATTACCGAAGGTGTTTAGTTTCCAGCCAGGTCATGTTTGGGTGGCCTGTGGGTTCTGTGGAAAGATTGGAGAGTAGGTTTTCGGCAGCAGGAGTTGTGTGCGTCGATCTGCGAATTCTTCACTTCTGTGAGCTGCTATCCAGTGAAGTGGCTGGCGCAGGAGGGAGCAATTGAAACCGGGCAGTCTGGTATTGTTGAAGCTGGCAGTCGTTTGCACTTCCCTGATCGTCCCTGTAGGATGCTCACCTTGGTCCTATGCAAGTGATTTTGCAGGGGCTTGGCCAGGGCTTTGTCTCAGCGGGAATTCCATCAGTTGCCACTTGAAAAAAGTAACAAGCAAAACGCCGCTACAGTGACTGGGGACTTCCAGTGATGCCTGTGGTGAGGGCGCGGCTGGTCTCATGGCGTGTCAAGTAGCTGAGTATGCTGAGTCTCCCAACCTGGCGCCGCCACGGTTTGCTTGAGGTGAACATCATCGTACAGATCGTGGCCTTCAGGCTTGAAGGTTTCTATGGCTTGATGCTACTGGCGTGCGCCAGCCAGGCGTAATGCTGCATCATATGTGGAACCGAGGGTAGAAAAAGACGCTATTGTTTCAGTAGTGATCATCCAAGGGTTATAGTTATACTTCTAAAGAGAATGCAGTAGGTGGATCCACCCGTGCTGCGACTTTATGACCTCATAATCCTCATATATGCTGCTGCTGCGAATTGTGCAACGCAGTCCTGCACCGGCTGGCAAGCCACATTGGCCGCCTATGGTGCTGTGGCGAACAATGCGCTGCGCATGTCGCACCTGACTACGGCGACCTGGATCCGCATTTGCTTCACTGACTTCATGCAGCATGATGATGACTTTGGATAGCAGCTAACAAGTGGAGAATGTCACTGAGGTGAACGAGCTGGCACACCACCGTGCAAATGTTTGTGCAGCAGTTGGCACTACACAGTCGCACAATGGAAAGGTTGTGTCAGGACAATTGAATCAGAGAAGAGCGTTCGATTGCATTTACCTCATTATGTTAGGATGCCATCATAGATTGACGAGTTACGTGCCGAAGCCAGCAATGTCTAAGATTTGTGTCAAACAATTGTCAAGCATTCTCAAGCCTTTTTCCAGGACAAAATGCATTTTTTGCCACCACCGCATTGTTGGGCGCTTTGCTTGCTGACAAGCGGACCAAGCAGGGAGTGGACTTTACATCAACCGTAGGTTGGAGTCAGTTGTGCATTTGTTTCGTCAAATCCGCCCTACTAACAAGAAGCTAGTAGTTTGGAGGCAATTGCTATTGAGTTAGAGGCCATCGCTACTAGTAACAAGAAGCTACAGTACTAGGTTGGAGAGAGAGGTCAACTCTCTCCTCTCTCTCTCTCTCTTTGTTGTTTGCTTCGTTGGCCACCTGGACAGGTCAGGAGCTGTCGGAGTTTGCTCGAGCAGGGCTGCTGGCTGGGATCATTTTTACAATGATTCTTAGCTGGACATGCTTTGAGGGCAACCCGAGCAAGCCCGGGATGCTCAACGATTTCTCTTAACACCTTTCTGCTTCTGAATGGAACTCAAGCTTTCAAGGGAAGTGACTTCATGTTGGGTTTTGAATAGGCACTATATCTATAGAGGTAGACTCTCAGTAGAAGGTGGTAGTGGTGGTTGTGGTATGTTGTGGTTGTCGTAGGTAGTGGTAGTGGTAGTGGTAGTGGTAGTGGCTGCCACTACCAGCAGCAGCGAAAGTAGCAGTAGTAGTGATAGTAATTAGTGACTGATGGCAGTAGTAGCACGATGATTTTCATTAAAGCTAGTTCTGATGACCGAGCCAAAATAAACCGTGCATAAACAATGCAGAAAAGAAACAACACCAATGACCAATGCCGCAAAAAAGAACACGTTCCTGCGTTCGGTTTGTTTTGTGTATTGTGTTTTTAGTTATTTACTGCATCAAATGCTATGGTTTTTATTGTTAGGCATGCTGTTGTTTGCCTATTTCATTCATGTTCAAGTAAACAGCTTTGCTGTGAGGAATTCCCCATTCTTGCATAAAAACCAGCATGATTTCTGACCTTTTTCCTCCCGTTGTCTCCCGTGGCTCTTTTGGATGGATATGATTCTGTTTTGTCTCCCTTTGTCCCCCTTCTTTGCCATGGCTCGGCTGGGATAGTTCTGATTTTTATATATCCCTTCGTTTGTTAGTCTCCCATGGCCCATAGCTCTTTTGGATGCTGGGCTGAGATGATTCTGCATCCCTTTGTCTCCCATGGCACGTTTAATGCTTTTATGAAGTGTGTTAATTGGACATGCCCCGTCTTGACCGGTATGCTTTTGATTCACTGGGGTTGGGCAGCGCAAGCCGAATTGGGAAAACAGAAACACATCAAGGAGGGCCAACACAAGCCGTTTGGTGCGAATGCTAATGTCATTAGGTGTTTGTTGTGAACCCAACCGAGTTTTCAGAGTTATATGGGGTGTAGCGCACTTCACAGCAGCAGCAGGAGGAGCAGGAGAGATTTCAGGCTTCAGGTCAGAGTTCCAGGATTCAAGCAGAAACCACGCCAGGATCTCAACGGGAACCAATAGCTGAACAAAAGAAAACTATGCTGAGCTCAGATAGCTGTCCTTTGCAGCATTCCCACCTCCCAAACAAATCATAAAAATCACGTTTAGGGGTTTGTTGACTACCCCTTGAAAATTTGTTAATGTGTCCAATGCAGTTTGAAGAACATGTATTTAAGACTATTTTCATGTCTGAGTTCTACTAGTCAAGCAAGAGCTAAGCAGAAGCTAAGCACGGATCTTAAAGGGAACCAATAGTTGAATAATAGACCTTGTAGCTAAAAGCACCCTTGGTTATTGTTTGTTCAGTTATTCCCACCCACCCAAAAAATACATTTAAGGTTTGGATTGATGTTGCAACAGTTGTTTCATTCCCTCAGCGGGCTCGACGCTTTTTGAGCCTTCTTTGGCACAGGCCAAAAAGGACTTATCTTGCCTGTCCTTTTGCACCCCGATTGGTAAGGACGCTACTAGTAGCTCCTGGCCGTACCACTAGGAACAAGAAGCTACTAGTAACAAAGGGCATCGCTACTAGGAACAAGGACTCTTTATTTGTCCATCATCGTTTTTGTTTGAGGCTTTTCCTGGCGAACACCGTGACCTCCTGCATTCGGATGGCCAAGAAGCTGGTCCACTTTTGCACCCCTCCTAGTGTTTTTGGACGACTGAGTGTGGTGTGTCAAGTGAGACGACTGAGATGGTGGAACATGTTGGACAAAAGGCTAGCGGCTAGAGTTGCTCCAACTAGTGTTTACTGATGTTTTTGGAAAATTATATGCCCAATTCTGCCTGATATGTTTTGAAAGCGATGTGCCTGGAGAAAGTGTGGAAGGATGTGCGTGTGGAAAGTGTATACGTTTGGCAACAGGCATTGTTCGCACGATGGATCGTGCATCATGATTGATCGATGCATGTGCAGTGCAGTGTACCTTGTAGAGATGGGCATGATGGAGGCAAAGAGAAGCCTGAACAATCTGGCCCTCGACTCAACAAGACCTTCCCAGCAACGCACATTATACCCCTCAAGGTGCCGAACTCGCATTTTGCGCGTGGACCTGTAGCCTGTAGTTTGCTTTCATGGGAGCTGCTACAGTTCTGTAATGCTGTGATACCACAATGATCTCGTTTCTGGCTGATTGGCCTTTTCCCTGCCAACTGATACCAGCGACCTGCGATTGCAGACCTTGACCGGCTTTGCCGCCATCGAATCCTTTCAACTCACCTTCTCACCTATGTGTCAAACCTTTGCCGCGCCCTTGGTGATTGGAGCCTTGGAAACCAATCCGAAAGCTCAATCTCCATTTATTTTTTCAGCGTGGTCCAGTGGTGCTGACACAGCTGAGGACAGCTTCTGGGGTTTAAAGGTCTCTTGATGTTGGTGAGTGGCGGCAATTCTGTGTGCTTCTCATTGATGCTTGGCAGCCTTTCAATCATACCACATGCAAAGAAAGTTACGAACATGGAACCGAGGAACATGTTCCTCATAAATTCAGGCCAAGCTTGGGATGCTTGGCATGAAGCTGGTGAAACGCCCAAATGTGCGTCCTCAAGGCTGTTGACAGTTACAAGGATGCCTTAGGCCCACTTCCAAGAACACAATGACAATGATTGTATAATGTGAGGCAGAAATTTCTGCATGACACTCTTCACACAGACATGGTCAAACCGTGCTCCGTTCCTTGGTTTCGGCAAGGATGCAGCTCGAAAATATGTGCCTTGGACCGTGGCTCTTTGGTGCTCTAAGATCTAATCTAAACTCTAAACATGTTGAGTGGCTTTGATCATGAAACTCTTGCCGCATGCAACCTTCTAAAGCAGTTTAGGGTTTTTAGACTGTTGTCCTTCAGATGATCACGGATGTTCCATGCACCTTGATGTTGCTGGACAGCTATCAGGAGCAAAGCTACACTGAGGTCCTTTTTGGGATGCTAGAGGACAAGGATGGAAATGTAGTCGGAACCGACAGCCAGCAGTATGACACACTTGGCATCGGAGAACAGATAGGTGCAGCTTCAAATGATTCGCAAAGTCCATGATTCAGATTGTCAGCGCATAATATTATGCAACTCGCCTTTGCCCAAGGGTTTTTTGCACTACGGTTGCTGCCATTTGAGAGCTGCAGGTGGGCCGCTGGAAGACTTGACTGGACCGGCACTCAACAATTTCATCAAGTTTGTGGCCGTGGTCAGCTTTGTTACAAGTGAGCCTTGGTGAAGTGTAGGCCCTGTAGGCCGTACGGTGCTCTGGAGGATCACGTGCTCAGATTTTGTGCAGGTTTTGGTCGAAACACAAGTTTCGGGGTGCTGTGGACAGTGGTTTTACTTCATCATGGGTGTGTGTGTGCCCCTTGTAATCACAGGGATCCCTTTGGATTGTTTTTCGTTTCTGCAGCGGGGTGCAGAGCACAGTGGAAACTACACCCAACGAAGCTATCCACTTGTGCTGGAAGCAGAGCCTGATCAGCTCTGTGTACCTGCTGGAATTTTAACTTTTCCTGAGTTGAGCTTGACACTCCGCAGACTTGCACGCTACGTCGTCACCCTGTCGTTTCGTCTTCGACTTGCGAGCTTGGCCCTTTTTCCTCTTGAAGACCTCCAGGCTCCGATGGTCCTTACTGGTACTCTTAGGACATGGAACCCTAGGCCGGCGTGTGGCACCGCTGTCAGTTCAGTACACCCTATCCTAAGTGTGTTTGGCTATGTTTGGCTTCGTGCCAACCCGGGATGAGCCCGCAGAGTGCCTCCCGTGGACCCGTCGAACGGGGTTTTGTCGTGATCTCCCCTGCCCGGAGATGTAAGTGTCCGAAGCGGACAGCAGATGGCTTACGCCACAAGAAGTGGGATGTTTGTCTCATTTTTGGAATTCCAAGAAGGCTTAAGCCTGTACGTGACCGCAGCGGTCCAAGCTGGCTTAACGCCTCAACGTGGTCAGAGCGACCGAAGTACTTTTGAGGTTCATTGGAACCTGTCGCGACCTTGGGTGCACACACAGCGTGTACATTGAAACGAGGCAGGTCACCTAGGTCGTTGCAATGAGGTTTGGTCTCATCGGTTTTCGTCCCCTCCATTTGGTTCCCCTTTCATCCCTTCCCCTTCACACACTTTTGTTTCCTCTTTTCTTTCATGTCCTCCTGTCTTCATGTCTGGTCATCTCATCCTTTTCTTCGTTTGCGCGCACATTGGTCCCGACCTTGGTGTGTACGTGCACTTCTACATACATTTTCACACAGGTTTCAGGTCGCCCTGGTCTTGACAATGAGGTGGGCTTCACGCGTGTCCCTGTGCACTTGGTTCCCTTCTCATTTCCACCACACACACCTTTGTCCCGTCTCGTCCTCCTGTCATGTCTTCATTCTTTTGTCTCTTGTGCGCGCACACGTGCACATTTGCCCCCTCGGGGAGGCGTGTGTGTGTGTGCCCCTTGAAATCACGGGGATCCCTTTGGATTGTTTTTCTTTTCCGCAGGGGGGTGCAAAGCACAGTGGAAACTGCACCCAACGAAGCTATCCACTTGTGCTGGAAGCAGAGACTGATCAGCTCTGTGTACCTGCTGGAATTTTAACTTTTCCTGAGTTGAGCTTGACACTCCGCAGACTTGCACGCTACGTTGTCACCCTGTCGTTTCGTCTTCGACTTGCGAGTTTGGCCCTTTTTCCTCTTGAAGACCTCCAGGCTCCGATGGTCCTTACTGGTACTCTTAGGACATGGAACCCTAGGCCGGCGTGTGGCACCGCTGTCAGTTCAGCACACCCTATCCTAAGTGTGTGTGTGTGTGTGTCAACCCCTGCACCTAAGGGTTCCGATGTTTCCAAGCAGGGGGCCAGCGCATGACATCACGACGCTGGCCAACGAAGCTAGTGATGTCATGGGATGCGGTCAGAGACGTCTGACCGTGTACCTGCAAAGAAACTGTTGCTCACGCTGTCCAATCTTCCTTTCTTGCTTCCATGGTGGTTCATGATACTTCCCACAAACCATTTTCCTTCCGCCACGTTCAGCTGCTGCGCGTTTCGTGAACTGCAGACAAGCAAACAATTTGTTAAACATTTCAGTTGCGCTGACTTTTTCGCCTTGCGTTTCCCTCACTTTCCTTCTCAACTTGGGAATTGAGCTAACAGCAAACCAATGTCAGAGTGTGTCAACAGGTTCATAGCTGGCATTTTGATCCATGTGTCAGGATATCTATGACGAGTTTCCGGACAAGACGTGGCTTTGGGGAATTGCACAAGTCTTTTTGAACTTCGGCCTGGTTGGGTTCTTCAAGTTTGGCCTCGCAGAAGCTGTGGCGCGGCAGATCAGACGTTCTGCCTGCAGCTCCTCCCGAGGGCGGCTGAGCAAGCCCCCCAAAAAGGGAACGTTCACAGGATCGTCCTTTACCATGTCAACTCCAACTTTGAAAAACTCGGTGGTCCTCATCAAAGCTTGGCAGAAGTGGACTTCCCATCTTCCCTCACCTTGGCCTCATTCCACCTTGTATATGACTTGACAATCTTGCTAGGAACTGCGTATCATTCTGCTCTCCTTGTTGCCATGGCTCCATCAGCGCACGCAACCATCCGGGTCCGCGCTGCTTGTGGGCTGGAAACAACGGGCTGTGGTTGACTCGTTGACCTTTCAGAATAGAACAAAGAGGGCTGCCGGGAATGTCAACCTACCGTGGTGTTCTAGTTCTGGAATTTGTCATAGGTGGGCAACACCCATATTTTCCATGCCGGGACAATCGTCAAGCCAAGGTTCGACAGTTGGAAAGTTTCCTGCGACGTCGACGTGAGGCAAGGATTCACATGGTTGAGTAATAGAGACATCGGTGTCAGCATGTCTTGTGTTTTATTTCATGGAGTCATGGTCAATAGCTTTTGTAGTTGACAACTTGGGGTCAGTTCAGCTAACCCAGCTTGCCAATTGCCGCCGCGCTGGATTAGAGCAGAATCGGCAGGCTGTGGAGTTGGAGGAAGGTGTTGCCATGCTGAAGGAGATCGAAAAGCGTGAAAAAGAGCCCCCCAGCAAAGACAAAAGATCTGAACGAAAATTGAAAAGCTCCTCAAGATTGAAATGTCATGGTCAAAATATGCACACATGTTTGGCTAGCCGCTGCTACCCTTGAATGTCAATCAATTGCCTTTGCTTCGATTAAGTTGTCCAGTTCCCGGTTTGGCTGAGGCGAGCTCAGCGACTGGAAGGACGGCGGTAGTTCGGCCGGGGCACAGCAAAAAAGGTATGTGTCAGTGCGCAGATGTGAGTGCAGAATGTGTGAATTACCACGAGCCACCGGGCCACCTCCATCCATTCTCCAATTACAAGAACACGAGAAACATAATATATAACTACAAAGCATTTCCCACACTTCTGTGACAGTTGAAGGAATGAAGAAGGAGGATCAGGATCTCCAACTGGTCTGAGCACTGGAGCCAAGCAAGAGGGTAGGACAAAAAGGCAGGGGAAATGGTTTGGGTGAGCTTGCTGAAGCAGTTAGGGTGCAAGGAAGGTGAAAAAGAGTGGAAGAGAGAAGACAATCGCACTCCTTCATGTTTTAAACAAGAACCAAATGGCTCGCCACCTCGTTCTTCCACGCTTTTGGGTCCGATACGTGTTCTGTCATCCCAGGGTGAACACTTGGCGGCGACTGTTCAATGGTCAGAGCGGCCGGAGTGAAATTTGGCCAGAAGCGCTTCTGGTTTAGGAACTGCTCCGAAGGAGTAGTTCCCGACACTGGTGATCCTTAAGGTGATGGGCCGATCAGACGGATGAAGCATCCAAAACCGGAACTGAGAAGAATTGTTGAAGTTATTCCAGGTCTATAAACGTGTGAGGACGAAATGCACCTGAATATCACCGCACGTCACCCACGCAGAATTAAGAGCAGAATTGAAGACAGTACTGACAGTAATTACTTGTATATAGATGCACAAGACGGTCAGATTCCATTGGCAGCAAAGCTTGGCGGCTGTGCAAAGTACATGCCTCAAGTCTTTTGGGCTGCAAAGTGTGATGTCCTCACTCCCGCTGTTGGACAAACTTGTTGCCGGGCTCCTTTCCTGCATCCGCGTTGATGAAACTCTTTCAGCTCCGGAATGAGTCAGAGTTGATATTTTAGGTAGATAAGGATAAACATACTTGACTTGTTTGGCAGCGTTTTTCAGCTTCAAACCCCGTAGGGGCTGCACTGCACACCGAGGAGTTTGGGTGAAGGCAGTGCTGGGATTTAAAAGATAGGAGATTTAAGAGCTTTTGAGTGACACGAGTGCCTTCAAAACCTCAGAAATCTGGTTGCAGCGCCCTTTGAACGATGTTGGACATCCCAAGGCAGCAAAAGAGAGCCATGTCCAACGCCCAGACCTCCAGCTCACTATCCGCAGCGTACACGAGGCTTGTGGCGGATCAAGCAGTCCAAGATGATCTATACAAGAAGGTTCATGAGTCGGATGTTGTTCATTTGTTTGTGGGCATGTGGTAGTGGAGAGACATCAGAGACACCCAGCGCAGCGTGTGCATCCCAGTATGTCAAGAGCGAGGCTTCATGGAAGTCAATGTCAGGAGCCAACACCTTGTACATCCCTGTGGATCATCGGCCAAATTGGTACTGGCAAGAAGTCTCCAAGAGGCGTGGCGGCTTGGAGCCTGTATCTGGATATGAAGACCTATGGCTCGACCGACTTTTTGCTGAGGCTCAGATTCAGATTTTGGGGTGCTCGGTGCACGGTGGACGTTACTGGGAAGTTGTTTTGGACCTGCCACGGCTGTTCCAAATCATCAGACGAGCTGCAAGACCGATCTTCTTGAGACTTTTATCGCGCTTGCTGGTGCGAACAGATGATGAATTGAATTCAATGGACGACTTGCCTGATGTCATGCGACTCAGCGTTTGCGCCCCGCAGGTGTGCGACCAGGATTTGATGGTTGACATCATTGTACCCCAGTTTTATGCGCCAATGCTGATGGGAGCGAAGCCAGAACGCAAGCTTCTGAACCGGAGTTTTCAGGACGTGGTACGTGTAGAGGAGTTGCTGGATTGGTCATCGATCAACATCGATTTTGCGATTGGAGGGACGGATGGCTGCGGTACCTCATCGCTGCATCGAAACCTCGAGCAGCATCCAGAATTGGCCTTTTCAACTGTTGGTGAGGACTTTTTCTTTACAGCCGAACTGGCTCACAGGCTTTTGCCACTGAAGTCGCAAGTGGAAAGCTATAATACACAGCTTGAGGAGATAAAGGACACCAAGTTGAAATCTGTTGGATTTCGCCCAAAGATCATGGGTATTTGCAACCCTGCTCTCTTCTCAACTGGCTTGGCCCGGCGAAAATTGGCCGGCATGCCAAATTTAAAGATGATTGTGATTTTGTGCGATCCATTGGGCCGACTGGAGAAAAACTTCATGGAGTATCACTACTGCTTTGATTCCTTGGCTGAAGCCAAACTGCGTGGACTCGCTTCCGGTGCTCGAGATGACGAAGCCTGCTTTGCAAGTGCTGGATCGCTTTTGTCAGAACGCTTTGGCAAGCTCAAGCGCTTTTGGCAGCGGCGGGAAGTGGCGGTGCATATGCCAACACTCATGAACCTGTTTACGGGGCGGATTATTGTGGTCCACCAAGAGCAGCTTCGAATCCGCCCAAACGCCGTGTTTTCCTCCCTCGCCAGTTTCCTGGGTGCAAGATATACCTTTCGATCTCAGACCAGCTTTCACCGCTACAATTCAGTGGGAGGCCACCGCACCGACTTGTGCCATAATGCAACACTGGTATCAGCCCTCAAGAGACACCTAGAACCCGAGTACCAAATGCAGGAGCTGCTAATGAAAGACGCCCAGGAGTTGGTTCCTGAAAGCTTGTTATTGAGATCCACTCGGTGCGATCGCATTGCTACGGAAGAGGCCACGTACTGCCCAAGTCGTTCGGCCTGTGAATAGACAACATCCTGGATGCTCGTGGTGTGATGCCTGCAATGTGAAGTATGAACATCCGATTCTGATGATCTGATCATCCAGCTATTCAGGAATCATTCTGGGGTCAAGACTCGCCATTCAAAAACATCGCTGATTCTTTAGGAGCTATAGACTTTGTCTTTGAAGTATGAACTTGCTCACTGCAGTTGAGACTTAAGGAAGCCTGGCGACCTGCTCCCCGCCCACACTCAAACCCATGGCTGAAGGAAGTTGCTGCATAACTTCATAACTTTGAAGTCCTGGATGTATGCCTCACGTGGTTGCTCCTCCCTTCCAGCGACTTGCTCACGTCCGTCCGGCGAGTCGGACGTTGGGTGGATGGCCACCCAAAGGTGGCATTCCAATTGAAGCAGGCGTGGATGGACCGGTTTTGTAGTCACTTGTAGATGTTGCAGCCGCAGTGCTTGCATCGACACGTGAAAGTGTGCTTACCGAAAACAACTTATTAAGACTTCTCAATGGCTCCTTCAAGGCTTCAGTTTAAAAATGAAAAGACAGCCATTGCAAACTGATGCTTTAGCCTGCCGATGTGTCCTGCATCTCTTTTCATTTTCACACCACCTTGAAGTCTCCATAGATGATGAGGGGTTGATTTCTTGAGCCTGTCAAGTCTTTTTTCTCGAACGCCATTGAAGGTACACATTCATTTGCTATTTGCCTTGCTTCAGGATTTCAGTTCATGTGTGTTACATTGTGTTACATAATTTACATGAGTGTTTTTTTTAATGCATTTCGTTCCAATTGGTTGGACAAACTGCGCGTTGCTTTTTTGGTGTGCGTGCGGGCGTGTAGCCCATCTATGTGCATATGATAGTCTGATAGATGGTGCTTTGTCGAATTGAGATGTCATTTACAACCTGCCTTGCAGCAACACAATGGCGCAACCAAAGCAATGGGCATGACGCTTGCTTTGCCTTCTGCTTCCTGCCCAAACTTTTGACAAGGTATGTCCAAGGGGGTGTTAGTATATGAAAATGTCATAAAATGTCGTCAGGGGAAGTTGCCGCCGCTGAGTAGCGTTTTCAAGTAGTGGCAGTTGTGACGTGGCAGGCCTAGCTCAAGCTACCTGGGACAGCAGGAAACACCTGCCAGAACTAGAGCATGACCGCTTCGAAAACAAACATCACTGACAGCATTGCAAAAGGCAAGTGCAGACACTCAGATACATTAGTATGCGACATTCACAAGCAGATACAAAAAGCTTTCAGGGCTGTGCTTCGTGAAGTAACACAATAAATCCATTCCAGCTGACTCAGTCAATTGGTCAAGAACTACCTAGACCCTGCAGAATGAGACCTGCGGCCTTCGGCTGCATAGCTCGTCGCCATGTACGTTGTCGCTCGCCTGTTGCATCCCCAGATGAGACTGTGATGGGGATCAGATACGGCGAGTGTTGTCACATCAGGTCCAGTCGCCCGGCCAGAAGGACGGAACACGGAACAAGCCGATTGGCATTTGTGTCTGCGGTGAAGTCGTGTAAGGAGGGTGTTCTGCAAGAGTGGTACTCAACCGTCACTTCGGTGAGACCCACGAAAACTTAAGTTTCCTTAAGAATCTAGGAACCAAATGAATAGTGCAAGCGTGAGCTATCCTGCATCCTAGGCAGTAGCTTACTAGTAGCTAGTAGCTACCTAGCTTCTACTAGCTACCTAGCCACAGGTTACAGTACTACCTCCCTCTACAGCCTACCCCCCCCGCCCCGGGCTTTAAAACAAAAAATGTGTTGCAGATCAACTGGCAGACTGTCTTCCCATGTCATCCAATGTCATCCAGCTAGGGAGACTCCAACTTCACTTCCCTTGTTCACAGGGTCAACCCGCTGATCCTCACACGCTACGCGAGATTCTCGCGAACAGGCACGAATCCCTCGTTACTGAAGAGATTCCTTCCACTAGCCACCAGCTTATGTTTTGCTTGTCGAGCCAGCAGGTGACCGACCAGTGGATGCAAAGGACACAGAACAGGCTTGCCACATCTTGCGATGCATGTTAGCAACATATATAGAGCCTTTTGCCGTTCGAAGGAGTTGAGACTGCTAGGTTCAAACGGATTCCTGATCATGATGGTGCAGATGAGTCGAAGCGCTCGCCGGACATCGGCCGACCCAGGCCACGACGGCTTCACCGGGTGCCTTTGGCGAGTCAGGACGGCTCAGGTCACGTAGCTGTAGCTGAGATGATGAAGCTGAAATGGTCCAGGATCTTCCTCATCGCGGAGCAAAAGCGAAGGGGCAAGTGAAGGCGGGATGTTTGGGGGACTGAACTGAATCCCACTCTGACTAAAGTGGAAATCATTGAAGTTTATAAGGGGTGTGCTAACCGTTTGCTCTTTTTGTGTCATCTTGTTTCTCCATCGCAAGCCAGGAAACCCAGCATTGCCCTGCTCTTATTCTTGATGCCACCCCCATGCATGTGTTCTCCGCTGCTTGAAGCACATTCTTGCTTGGCATTTGGTGT